ACAGATTTATAAAACCATGGCTTAAAAAATCCAGTCATGTGCAGGATATTTTGGCAGGAGAATTGAAGTACTGCAGATTGGGGAATTTGAAATATTGCAGCTCTAATATGGTATAATTTCAGTATGTATGAAATCTTACATGGCTCTAAGCCTCTAATGTCATATATTTCTTTTTGATTGAAAAAATTGTGGTTTGCACTTTGCAAATACCGGTACCTATGTCATTTCATTGAATGTACAACTTACGCAATCTGCAGACTGCAGTACTACTTCAATGCTCCTGCTAAAAGATCCTGCACAATGTCATGATAATGAGTCAACCCAAAACATTTAGTTGAAGATTGCATAGGCAGTCATGTCAGAGCAGTCAGACTGCATTATCACATGTTCAGTTGCAACATATAGACAAATGTTATTAATGCTGTTTTGACCCTTTTTAGGGGAAAATATGAGATTTGGGGTAACATGTGCACAGGACTTTGTAAGTAAGTTCATGGCTTGTAAATGGCTCTTTATAGCCAATGATGGCCAAAATATGGAATTCATGGCTGGAAAATCCATAAAACCTTGGCTCAAAAAATCCAGCTGTTGCTTACAAGGTAGATATACTATTCCATGCCTGCACTGGGTTTTTGGCTCATTCATGGTTGCTTCTGAATTCTGCCTTACTGTCAGAATTGTGCAGATTAATATACTGCAAATTTAGCTTGCCTAATTAGGCTGAAAATTTCAAGTAAAAATTGTTCATTTATGTTAATTTATCAAAATTGGAGGTAAAAATGGTCAATTTTGTTATTTTTCACTAACCTAATTGGAAAAAGGCTGTAGGAGTTAGGACCATGTGAAATTGGCCAGTTATATGCCTGGCTGTAAATTTAGGCTCTTTAGCTCAAGATACCAGTGTCTTTTCAAGCTCTCCATGACCTTCAATTAGTGTCCATGATCAATCAAAAACTATGAATAAAGCAATCAACAGTGCTGCCATAGCATATATCTACAGCTTGTCTTGATTGCTTGTAGGTCACTTGCAGCAATTGTAATGTGCGTTTGTCCATGCCAATCATGGCAATTTGCTGTAACGATTGTAATGCCTGTATTTCCATGCCCATCATTGCACATTGGTTGCAAGAATTGTAATGCTTGCTTGTCTGTGCCTATCAACGTGCATTGGCTGTAAGGATGTTAATGCCCAAATGTCCATGTTAATTATCACAGGTCGACCATAACAATTATAATATGCATATGTCTGCCGAACATTGCTTATTGGCCATGTCAATTGTAAATTGTGGTCTATGGAGACCAATAACTGGCAACTGCTGTCTGCCTTGATTGTACCCTGGCTTCTTTGGGGCAATGAAGTTGGCATCCTCGACCTATGTTGTGCTTTACTGCATGGGGGGCAAACCAGATACATTTTAGAATCGGTTCATTACAACACTTCTCTTTAACTTCACTTCTTGTTGTTTGTTTGTCTGTCTGCTACAAATCTTATATATATAATTGATATTCAATGCACTTCTACCTGTCCAATCGATCTAAAATTTTGCACACTTGCGTAAAGTTGGAGACAATGCACGAATCAATTGACAGAATATGTAATTTTAAAAATTTAAAGTTTTTTCATTTAAAAAATAATTTTGTCTGCTACAAATCTTATACGGTAATCAATATTTAACACACTTCTACCTGTCCAATCGATCTAAAATTTTGCACACTTGCATTAAGTCAGAGACAATGCATATATCAGTTGACTTTATAAATAATTTTGAAAATTTAAAAAAATATTACCTATTTATTAAAAAATTTAGAAATTAATTATTTTTAATGTATGAAAATAAAATTAGAAATTCATTCAGTGTAACATCAAAGACACTGGATTCTTTAGAAGTGTTGTCTTCAAAAATTAATTTTTAAATGCATACCGTACCTAGTAGGTATTTTTAATTTTATCATCTACTGAAGATTTAAACCAGTATCTTCTGAACAATAATACTGGTATCCATAATACTTTACTGGTCTGCTTATAGGACCCAAAAATGATTTCAAGGAAGAGTCTAAAAAAGTCTCCGTTTTGCCACTATTATTTACTGTCATGGATTAATAGGTAAGCGTTTTTGTACAATTCATGGGTGGCTTCTCACAAATTTTTCACTGATGTTGCAAATGCAATATCAAGCTATAAGATTCTAAAATTATTGAAGAAAGTCTTATTAAACAGGCCTATTCAAAGCACAAGATTTTTTAGTAGTAAGAAGAATTTTCCAATTTTGCTTATCAACATTTGACAGTTGACACAATTGAAAAATATGAAAAAATGTGCCTATAATTCAATCATTAAATCTTTTGATCTTGTTAAAAACTGTGTAGTTTTGTCAATAAGTTTAAACAATAAATGAATGAAATAGAAAATTGTGAGCTTAAACACATGAGCTTGGTCTGCCCTAAGATTACCCCTGGTAACAATATGATATGTAGATTGCAGTTTGATCATGCACTTGTGTTATGTTAATAATTAGATTAGAGATAATTTATCTTGTGGGAATCTTGCAGCTGAAAAAATTGTATGAAAGTTTCTGATGCGGCTCAGGAAATAGATATACCTACCTATTTTATGGATGTGTCACATTGAGTAGCATTGACATTAGTTATTTGAGGAGGGTTAACACCAGTGGTTGCCAAATTTTTGCAGGCTGGCATCTCCTTGGCTCCTCAGTGAATTTCTAGTGCCCTCCCCCCACTGAGACATAAAAAATATAACTCGGTACTCACTGCAGTGAGTGATGGAGAGCGCATTTTCTTGTCAATGAAAATGTGGTCACGGACTGACGGATGGATGGACAGACAGACAGACAGACGGACGGACAGACATGATGAGCACAATAGCGCATTTTTTCTATTAATGAGAAAATTTGCTTAAAAGCCCGATTTTTAATATTTTCCAAATTTCACACTAGAGACCCAGAAGATGTTAAAAAATCTCAAATGTGGGTGGAAAAGCCATTGCTGGGAGCCGTGTGCTGCACGTGTTGTGTAAAAATTGTCAAAAAACATTCAAACTTCTGACTTCAACTTTGGACTGCCACCTCCTACCACCCCCTTCTGCCTCACTGCCCTCAGGAGGGTGGTACTGCCCTCTTTAGGAACCACTGCTTTATACTACCTATCCATACATTAGGTAGTTGGAATGTGTATTATCTGGGATGATTGTTTGCATATACCATTTAATTTTGCTCAATCATGGTTACCATCTCTGGATATTTGCATTAAAATTGTAATATCAGCACATATTTGTCTTAATATTATTGTCTTATTTTTCAATTTGAATTTGCTTGTATGTATGATGTAGTATGAACATTTAAAGCATTTATTCTTGAAGAGGTTTAATAGCTCATTTTAATAAAAGAATAAGAGTGAAATTAATTTATTTGACAAATTTGTTTGGTACATCCATTAGAATTAGAGCTTAGTTTTCATTCTGCATTGCTGAAGTTGCTACCCTGTTATGTAGTTGTCTTTTGTTGAAGCAAATTAAAAATACACAACAGTTGGGAGATGGCAGACAATGTATTATCTGTTAATTCAACCAATGAACAATTTGAAGTTGCCCCAAATCAACTTGTCTCAAAGAAGTCAAGAAAGCTGGTAAGTATTAGTTTATGAACCCCCTAAGTTAACTGAGTTTGTATATGATCCCTGAACCATGCTGAAATCTTAAGTCTGTTAGAGAATGGAAATATCCATTGACTGCATAGGGATTATCACTTAGATTGGTAAAATAATAGTAGGTGCACCTTTTAACCTAACTAGATTTTCATTACATTGTACAATGTAAAATACATTCATGTTTAAAGTTTGAACTTTACAATGGCATTTTCATAACATACCAGAACCCTTTTCATCAGCTACATACCTATGTAAATTGGATGCTGTTTTAAAATCAGCCAGGCCAGTGCACACCAGGAAATACCATTCCTAGAACTCCTGTCTTGGCTTCTTCTAGTGGGGAATACTTGCTGACTTTGAGTTTCTAAATCTGAGTAAAATATTAACAGTCCATGTGAGCACTAACTCCATAAGGGCTTGACATCAATTGAGTATTTTTATTCAATTATCTGCTCAAATTGAAAATATTGTGATAGTTCTGTGCAGACCAGTCAGTGGCATGGCTTCTTAGAGCACATTTTGCTTGCAAAGACCTCTAAAACGAGCCTTAATTCATTTATGAAATGTTTCATGGTAAAAAGTTATTAATGAAAAACGCTCAAAACCGTCCCTCATTGCCCGATTTGATGGTTGCTGCAAGACTTTTTTCAACATAATTATGTAGGATGATGCCTCTGTCCAAGTTACACTCACTTAGGACCAGAGTGGGAAATATTTGAAATTTTGGTTTATTGATACTGACATGTCACTTATTAGGTTTGAAAATATCATCCTGATCTAGTGGGAAGACGTTTGGGGTTGCTAAGTGCAAATATATAGCAGTGACATTGACACTTTAAAGATAACATTTACAACTATTCTTGCTGTCATATATGCTGATTTTTTCTTTTATTATTAAATTCTTGCCTGCAGTTTAAGGCAATTCTAAGGAACCATTTTGGAGGTTCCTTGAGAAAGAATCAAAACAATTACCCAGTATTTATATATATGGCTATAACTAAGTACTGGTATACTATTAAACATGACCACACTTTTTCTGCAGATTGCATATAAGCACATCAGTGTTACACAATTTTGTCAATGTTGTTCATTATTAATGGATGTTTAAGCTCTTATCCAAAATAAAAGACCTTATATCTATGCTTTCTTGAAGATAGTATGTACCATATAACCAATTACAACTCTGAGAAAAACGTGTAAATTTACTATTTAAATGACTTTTTATATTATGCCTGCAAATATTAGGCTTCAAACGCTGCTTATTCTTGCCAAGTTGACAACACAGTTCATCTTCTATTGCGTTTTGTCAGCCATTCATTGTTTTTTTTTTTGTCCAGGAAAAGAAGCCTCTGATCGGTGACAAGAACGGTGGAGGTGGTAGCTCCGCAGCTCTGGAGCACGGTGCTATGGGTAACAGTCCTGCCATGTCCACTACCCTCAATGATGATTCCAGCCAGCAATCATCTATTGGCTACTCCATTGATGGTAAGAGCTTGTCTATATTTATATATTATATATTTTTGTTTTGTTCATGAGATGCATAAATCACTAATGTGATATACAACCTAGGGATTTCATTTTTTCTGTCAGGTATATATAGATTTTTCTCTCAGGTATATATAGATTTTTTGTTTCATTAAAGGAGTTGTACAAAAATCAATGGCTTTTTGAAGTATTCATTACCTTGCTGATGAAATGGGATTGTTTGTTTTATTAACTATATCATATTTCTTAAGCAGGTAATGAAGAGACAGGACAGTTAATCTCTCGGCGCACCCTTAACACTGCTGCTGGAGTTTTCGCCCCTGTAGCTCTCTCACAGTTTAGTAGCTTGCTCTTCCTCCGTATTGGTAAGTGAATAATGCTATGTCAGTTATTATATACCGTACCTCATGTAAGGAATATCTCAAACTAATGAACGAAGCTCGATGAAACTTGGTACACGTATTCCTTCGGACCTAATGGTAATGTTTATTTTTTTTCAATTTCGCTTTCATTCGTGAGTTATAAGGCGATACGGGCCGAAAATCGCAGTGATCAAGAATTTCTTCCCTACTACTGATCAGATACGAACAAAATTTTGAATATACATTCCTAACCACCAAACGGTGATGTTTAGCTCGTGGAATTTTTTTCAATCTTGCCTTCGTTCGCGAGTTTTTTCCCTTTTTACCTTCATTAGTGATTTAAACAGCACAACGTGCTTAAATTCGCAGTGATCTAGAGATTCATTCTAAACTATTGAACAGATTTGAACGAAACTTTGTATACAAATACCTAACCTCCCAACGGTGATGTTTAGCTCGTGACAATTTTTTTCGATTTTGCCTTCGTTTGCGAGTTGTACGGATATACGTATACGGCTCTTCGTCAATGCAAATTTTAAAAATCTGCCCCAAAAATGCCGGTCGTTTCTCGGTATATCCGTAGAACTCGTGAACGATGGCAAAATCGAAAGGATTGTCACGAGCTAAACACCACCGTTGGGAGGTTAGGTATTTGTAAACAAAGTTTCGTTCAAATCTGTTCAGTAGTTTAGAAGGAATCTCTAGATCACTGCGAATTTAAGCACGTAGTGCTGTTTAAATCACTAATGAAGTTGAACTGAAAAAAAAAACTTGCAAACGAAGGCCAAATCGAAAGAATTTTCACAAGCTAAATATCACCGTTTGGTAGTTAGAAATGTATATTCAAAATTTCGTTCGAATCTGTTCAGTAGTTTATAAGAAATTCCTTGATCACTGCGAATTTCGGCCCGTATCGCCGTATAACTCACGAACGAAGGTAAAAAAAAATCACGACCTAAACATCAACGTTAGGTACTAATGAATACGTGCACCATGTTTCATCGAGCTGCGTTCCTTATTTTGGGAGATATTCCTTGATCGTTGAATTTTGCAGACCGGCCGCGAGTCAAGCCTTAAAATTGTTTGAGACTTCCTCATGTCTTGGTTTGTGAATATCTATGGAATATAATTATATGTATTTTTCATCTCTGTAAATACTCTTATTAACTCTATATTGAAAGCCAAGAAATTAAATGTATGAGCCTATTGGCGTTGTGGTTTATCTTTTTTTGAAATCAACTTTTGTAAAGAGCTTTTAATTATTTCTTTTTTTTTCCATTGTAGTTATAGGTTCATTGTTTCTGTTAGCATAGATATTGCACAATTTTTCCATTGAAATTCGTGCTTGGACCGCCCTATTCATAAATAACTTATCGTGTTCTGTTTATCAGGCTATCTTATTGGCAATGGAGGTTTGCTGGTGTCGCTGGCGCTGCTGCTGGGGTGCTATTTTATCCTCATCCTGACGGTGCTGAGCATCTGCGCCATCTCTACCAACGGCGCCATTGAGGGCGGGGGAGCTTACTGTATCCTTTATATGGGCTCCATTATGCCTTAAAAACACTATCCACCTATTATAGAAATGACTGTAGTTTTAGAATTGTTGTAGCAAAGTGGATAGCGCCACAGTCTGCGCAGTGGTGGCGGCAAAAAGATATGAGGAGCTTGCAGTGGTGTAGCTGGTGGACTGCGTTTGGTCGTCGTCGAAGGTGGTGCTCCCAGCATGGCCTTTAATTGGTGTGCCTAAATGAATTCTGGGCACATATGTTACCAGGGCGACTCATAAGGACTGATTGATGACGAGTGTTAAAGACTGATGCACAGGTCTGGCCGATATTTGGAGTTGTCTGAGAGAAACTTTTGGTATACCTACCTAAATCGACTTGTTAGGGACAATAGAAAGACTACGTCTGTTGCAATTACTGCGGATATCAATAGACAGCTACAGAACCCAGTTTCCGTAAACTCTGTCTGCCAAGAACTGCACAGAACTGGATTCTATGGGAGAACTGCTATTAGAAAAGCTCTGGTTTCAAATACAAATGCTTCAATGCAATTAGAGTGGTGTAAAAACCTCTAGAATTGGTCCCTCGAACAGTAGAAAAATGTGATTTTTCCACTGTTGACGAATTTTTCTCTTATTTCCGACCTCTAGTCGACTTTACGTTTGGCCAAGAGAGTCGTTTAATACCGACTGCCTCCTCACAACCGTAAAACATGACGAAGAATCTGTGATGATCTGGGGTGCTTTCTTGTAAATCCGGTGGAACAAAGACTTTTTTCATTGAAGAATCAACAGCTGTGACTATTCACGAATTTTGAAGTAAAATGGTTCAAGCACTGTCCATCCAATGCTTAAGCACTGTTTCCGGAGGGGGACGCCATCTTTCAGGTAGATAATGCTCCGATTAATGCTGTTAGAATTGTTAAAAAATCGCACGAGGAACATTTGAGTAGATGTTTGATTTGGCCACCGTAATCACCCGGCCACCATATTATCAAAAATTTATGGTCGATATAGAGATGCAAGTCAGAAGTCGAGTCCCGCTCCATCGTCTTTAAAAGAGCTGAAGGGAGTTATAATTGAAGAATGGGTTTAAAGTTATTTTAGAAACAATTCACAATTTGTATGAATCAATACCTCGGAGAATTGAGGCTGTAATTGCCGCAAAAGTTGGACATACACCACACTGAAATATATTTTGTGGATTTATCGGGTATTTCCCTTATTTTGTCTACCTCTGTACAGCTGTTGCGAGTGTAAAAGTAACTGTGCTTACCTGGGACGTTACAATGTATCAGAATTTTTATTTTTCAAGTGTGGCCGTATTATTGTTCATTCAGTGCATTCCTTAACACTAATTCAGTCATGATCAGTCGTACACTTGGGCCTGAGATGGGTGGAGCTATTGGTCTGGTCTTCTACATCGCCAATGTCTTCAGCTGCGCTCTCTACACTTCTGGCTGTGTTGAGGGCATCTTACAGGGCATCAGTGAGTTTGGTTTCCTTGCTCCAGTGTTTATTAATTTTAGTTATTTAGATGATTGTCATGGTTTGAGAGATATGCCGAGAGTCTTGCACTTGCACTCAAGATGTGCCAATGCACAATGAAAAGCTATATTTAGTTGCTGAATATTATCATTGTCCTATATTTTTGTGCATTCTTAGCAGAAGAATTAATTCACAAAGAATCACGAATGTGAATTTTTCACATATTTCATCACTGAGATTTTCAGGCATAGAATAGGTATTAATGTGTAAACTACTAGCATTTTTCCACATAGTGTGTTTAAGATTTTGACCTCGTCAATGAATTATCCTCCTTTTAGAAACCTATTGAGATTAAAACTTAAGTGCGCCATCTCATTTATTTGTAATCATCCTCAACATATTTATCTGTTCTGCATAAATGCAGAATTTGTTTCTCTGTGTTTAGAAATGAAAAATATTGAGTAACATCATGGTATTAATGGCATGTATAATAATCACGATACGGCCTATGAATTTGATTTATTTACAGCTTCAGCTACAAGTGGTCCGGTCAATGCTACTATTGTGCCTCATGGAAACGAGACCATCCCACTTGAGTTTAATGGTTACCAAATCTATGGGATTGCCATCGGCATCAACCTGACGCTGCTATGCATCTGTATCATCGGTGCTAACTTCTTTGGCAAATGCACGAATTTCTTCTTCCTGGCCGTGTCTTGCATTGCTATCTTGACGCTCATCGCACTGCTGGCACAAAATCCCATCACTGTGAGCTTGTTTTTCACTTGTTTTTTTATTAATTGTTCATTAGTTTGTAAATACCAACCAGAATAGAATTTACTGATTTCTTGTGGTCTTTGAGACCGTGGTGTGATTTTCTTCCCTCCAATCCAGTCTGTTTATTGCTTAACACGTTGACTACGTATTGGTACATATACGTACCTCGAAATGTATTTTTCCAGGAGGTAGTGGTACATAATTCAGGTTGCCTAAAATCGGCCTAATCTGAGAACAAAAAAGGCCGACAATTCAATGTATACTAGTTTATTTGTAGGTTCCACTATAAAAATTCCATTTGTTTTCTTTTTGCAGTATTTAAAATTTAATTAGGAAGTACCCCTATCATAAATTTTAGCCGGCCAACGCAATTGAGAAAAACTAAATCACGGAATTTGTCCGGAAAAAATGACCGTCTGGCAACCCTGCTTAAAAAAAGTACAAAAAATGAAATAATTGTACAAGATGAAGCAATCGTCAACGTGTTAAAAGTACTTATCTGGTGGGATATATCATCTTGATTTTATTTCTCTCGTCTCTTATTTAACAATATCCTTCTTTGTTCTTCACAGATTCCTTACGCTCACAGTCTTCACAGCAGTGAACTGAACTTGTCAAAAGTGGCTGGCAATTTCACGGGTCCCAGTATAGCAACGCTGAAGAGCAACCTCTACGAACATTATACCATTGACTACAATAATGGCAAGCAAATCAACGCCATGACTCTCTTCAGCGTTCTCTTCAGTGGCGTCACGGGCATCACGAACGGCGCCAACATGTCTGGTATTACTGTCCTAGTCTTGGCTTATTGGTTGCACTATTATTGTGGTCGATTCATGGATATTTCAAGACCCATTTGTGCAATACGGTGATGTCGATTTTCGGTCGGTGCAAGCCAAAAGAAACAATTTTCAGCTTCATCCTCATAAATTAAAAAAAAGTACTTAGAGTTTTGAAAATTGTAACAAATGTTAATGCTTTACTGTAGTAGGTATATATATTTTGAAGGGTGCTACAGCTTTGGTTGTTAAATTTTGCTCAGTAAATCATTCAATAAAAAATGAGTTTTGGTGACAGGTGAGCTGCGTAACCCCGGCTACTCGATCCCGCGCGGCACGCTGCTGGCGCTCAGCTTCACCTTCTGCATGTACTGCCTCTTGTTCGTGGCCACTGCGTGCTCCACTGCGACGGATGTGCTGCAGTACAACTACGTCTTCATGGGCTACGTCAGCTTCTGGATGCCGCTCGTCTACGTTGGTACGAGCAATTACTTGCATCCGTTATACGATAAGTACGATATGAAACTATTGCTAGCTTGTCCACGTTGGTACAAGCGATAGCTGTTATTCAGTGGCAAAATAAAACAGCTAAAACTAGGAATTTAAAAGCAAAGAAAACGTCAAGCAAATTCACCATATCGATATTGAAAACGTTTCGAAGTCCAGCTCCATTGTCGTACTGATGATGGAGCTGGGCTCCAAAAGTGAAAACGTTTTCAGTATCGAAATGGTGAATTTGCTAGGCGTTTTCTTTGCTTTTAAATTCCTTGTGAACTTGCGATATAAGCAGACTGATAATTATAAGTACGTATAGTAGCTAAAAACTACCGCCAGCATGTTGAAGTGGGTATTAGTGATTACCTTTAACTTTTTAAAAAATTAAACATCGCCAATTTAAAAAAAAAATCAACAACAAGAATCTACCACCAGCATGTTTAGTTAAGTATAATCTATAAATTCAAACCTTTGCAAAATCACGCAAGGAATGTATCTATCATACAGGCAAGATGTAAATATACATTCTCGAAAAGAGATTTAAAATTTGTAAAGAGATTTTTCATGAAGAGAATGAAATAACTTGCATGGAACTGGAAATATTATGAAGTCTAAAATTTTAACCGTTAAACCGATGTATAAATAGCAAGGATAAGTAATAAATGGAATCTCTTGAAATGAATTGTTTGAAAGCTCATCGTCTGTACTTCGAATTTTTGGAAATTCCGTCATTCTAAGTTTAAATTGACCTTTGTATAATAATTAAGATTAATAATTATCAGGGGTCAGGACGCTAGACCTTTGGTAAAATTGCACTTCAAAACTTGTTATGTTGCGCGAAGAGAGCCAATTTTTCATAGTGGTTTCTCTCCGGGTCAGGTTTCTCACGTTGTTATTATAATTCTGCAGGCATCGCACTAGCCACACTCTGCGCGAGTCTGAGCAACATGATCGGTGCCTCGAGAATTCTACGCGCTGTTGCAGATGACCGTGTCTTTGGTGAGTCTAGTTCTCCCCCATTGATTATTAAGACGTTTTACTACACTCTCATAACCTTGCCTTTGGGTTTGGAAAAGTTATTGCGTCCTCTTCTCACGCTATGCATATCTCTTCTCACTCAATTCTTATTATTTGTCTCCTCATTCTCACATCTTCTCACTCCATTTTTCTCAACTCATTCTGTCCCCTGCTCCTCTCACTCACTGTTCATCTTCACACTTCATTCTAATCTTCTCATATTATCTTCTCCTCTTATCTCCTCTTATTCCAGGGAACCTGTTCAACTTCCTGTCGTGGGGCTGTACCCGTAACAACAACAACAGCAGCAGCAGCGGTGGCTGCTCCCGCTGCCTCACCCACAACGAGTTCCTGGGTCCTCTGCTGCTGACGTTCGTGTTGTCCGCGGGCCTCCTGGCCATCGGTGACATGAACAGCATCGCGCCCTACACCTGCGTCTTCTTCCTCCTCTCCTACGCCATGATCAACCTCTCCTGCATGATGCTCTCCTGGGCCGCCGCCCCCAACTTCAGGTTATTGCTTTACTTGATTTTTACTTTTTAGCGCATTTTCTCATTCATGGAAAAAAGGCGCTATTGCGCTCGTCATGTCCGTCCGTCTGTCTGTCCGTGACCAGGTTTTCGTCGACTAGAAAATGCGCTCTCTGTCTTTTTATTCATCTTTTTTTTTGTGTCATGGTTTGGTGATCAGGAAAATGGGTGAAGGACGAAAGTTAACTTGCAATTATATGAACGAAAGACATGGAGGTTTTTGGAGGGAAAAATGTTAATTATTTAATTGAAAAAAATTTAAATGATTAAATTATTTAAATTATGCTTGCTATAAACTCTTTCTTTCGATTGTTCTTGGTGGGTGTTAGTTGATGTTTTATGTTTGCAACGTTAGCACACAATTATGTTCCAAGCTTGTGGCTTCGGCTGTTGAGTTGAGATTTTTTGTTAAATTTCTTCCGGATCTGAGAATTCCTCTTTACGAGTGCCTAGTGATTGCCAAAAGTTAATCCTTTTTCATATTGTTAAAATCGAACGTGCAAGATGTGTTGCATTTTTCAAACCTTTATTTATTTTATTAGTTTTGATGTCTTGGGGAATATTGACAGGCCGCAGTTCAAGCACTTCAGCTTGATATCGTGCGGTCTCGGGCTCCTGAGCACGGTCGTTGTGATGTTATTGCTGAGCGTGCTGGCCGCCTTCATCTGCATTGTCGTGTTCGGCATCTTGCTCTTCTGCTTGTACCTCTACCACCTCAAGCATCCCTCCGCTGAGATCCAGTGGGGCTCAGTGGCGCAAGCAGTGCTTTTCCACACCGTAAGTTGTGCCTTTCTTATGATCTTTAATCAATAAATAATCATTTGTTGATCAACACTTAATTGAGTTTTTCCATTTAAGGTCTGTCAACCAGATATTATTATTCCCAACAACTGTATACTTGGATTTCGTTTAAAAAGGGCATGTTTTTCCGGTTTTATTGTGTTTGTTTCCCAGTCACACATTCTGAAAACATAGCGTCTCAACTCCGTAGTATTGAATAACGGTCCCGTTTTTGTGTCCCGTAACTGTCCCTTGAGTAACTCTCCCGTTTTTGTGTCCCCTATCTGTCCGTTGAGTACCGTAAATGTCACGTTTTTGTGTCCCCTACATGTCGCTTGAGTAACTGTCCCGTTTTTGTGTCCTCTATCTGTCCCTTGAGTAAATGTCCCTTTTTTGTGTCCCCTAACTGTCCCTTGAGTAACTGTCACGTTTTTGTGTCCCCTAAATGTCCCTTTGTGTCCCCTATCTGTCCCTTGAGTAACAGTACCGTTTCTGTGTCCTTTAACTGTCCCTTAAGTAATTTTCCTGTTTCAATAACTAATCTGACGCATCCTTTATATGAAGGTACGGAAATACCTTCTGAAGTTGGACTTCCGTCGCGAGCACGTGAAGTTCTGGCGCCCTCACTTGCTGCTGCTCGTGGCCAACCCTCGCACCGCCTGCCCTCTCATTGACTTCCTCAACGACCTCAAGAAATCTGGCATTTACATCCTCGGCCACGTTATGGTAAGCGCCTGCATTAAAAAAACTGGAGTGGTCTATCTAAAATCTAATCATATTCGCCTGTATTTTTTAATATCTGTACTAAAATCGGAAGAAATACCCGTGTCTAATAGCTATCTGTTGGTAATCCAAATAGTTCTAAAATACTTTTTTTCTCTATCCTGTTTGCCGGGGATATGCGCATCCTGCACAAAGTATCTTTAATCAATTTAATTAGATTCTTAAATATCATTTTGATGTGGCTCTCGAGTAAAATTAACTGTGATTTAATTGTGAAGTTTCATCTGACTTTGTACAAGTGAATTAATGTTGTGTCTGTTGTTCGAAATGAATGATTTAACTTGCCAGTCGTACTACCTTCTGTACAATTCTTTTTATTTGTTACCATATTTACCTTAGTATATTGATCAACAAACAAAGATTTAAATATGAAACTATATTGATAAATTTGGTATATATTCTAAATCCTACGCAACCGATTAGACCTAACAATCGTACTGATAAAATTTCTACGAAAAGTGAGATTCGCTTGGTACGAGGAAGCTATAACTTATGGCGATATTTATGCTAGTCTCTTATTTTGCAAGGTGTCGGAGAAGTCACCGTGCGACCTGTCCGAGGAGTACAACAGATGGCAAGAGCTGGTCGATCACCTCAAGGTTGGTTAGGAAAATCTACTGCAATCCGTAATTCTTTATTATCAATTTATGAAGTCCGACTCATTCTATTCATATTATTGTGATTACTTCACTTGTTGAATTTCAGGTCATACTAAAAGAATAGTCTTTACTACTTTTAACAACCTGATGCACTTGTTACTTGTTATTCCCTTCTGATTATATAGATGTGTTTGTAAGCTTTATTTTTATATTTTTTTCAAATCTCAGTTAAATTCAGTATAATAATAAATGTGTGACTATTTTATCGGATGAAATGCAAGTTTCAACGTTTGATCTCTTGAATTCTTATATCAATAAACTTGTAATTCAAACACGGGGTCTCAGCTCCCATCATCCAAGGGGTCGCTATGTCCATCAACCTTCTGCCATCAACCGCCTATATTTCATTATTCTACAGCATAATTTTTTCAAGCCCTCTCAAACTGGAATGATGGTTGCTGTACTTGCATTGCCTTTTTAGCGCATTTTCTCATTTATGGAAAAAATTCACTATTGTGCTCGCCATGTCCGTCTGTCCGTTCGTCCGTGACTTCATGTTTTCGTCGACGAGAAAATGCGCTCTCTGTCACTCACTGCAGTGAGTACTGAGTTATATTTTTTTAAAATAAATATGTTGCGTTGATTTTTCTTAAATTATGTAGAGTCAACCTTTTATTTTTTAATTATGTTGTTTGACCTGAATTATGTTGTGTGATGCGTACAGGTGAAGGCGTTCGTGTCGGTAACGGAGAGCAGCAGCCTGCGGGCGGGGGCGCTGCAGATGGTGCGCGTCACAGGCCTGGGCGCCCTCAAGCCCAACACTGTCGTGCTCGGCTTCAGGGACGCAGCTCACCCTAACGACTTCCTTACCATGTTCGTTATTTTCTGCCTTGTCTTTCGTCATCCTCACAATGTTAATAAACTTTTAGATTTGATCCTAAATTATATCTTGTTGTCACATCTTTTCGTCTGTTATTTTATTGTTGGTAAACTATCTAGTTTTTATTCAACTTATTTTGTTTCAATCACATGAAATCAATCAATTAATTGAATGGAGTGGAAGGCTTTTCTTAAGTTTATTGAATATTTCTCGCCTAAACTCGTATTTTCTTATCTTATTTCTGATAGATTGTTACTACTACTGACGTAGTAAACACTGTCTATCTTTTCAGCCTGATTTTCTATATATTTTGTGTGAGATGTTACCTAGAGGGTAAATATATTTATGGATGTGCTATGCATTTTTCTTCGCTGCGCTATCACAAAGTCCTTAGTGGTACATCTGCGCCACGGCAAGTTTATCCCAAACACCCAATATTCTTCACATACGTATATTCCCCCCAAAAAATAATTGATTACTATTGGTCACCAAGCCCATAACTGTGAAATATTCTAATTATTTTATTTCTGATAAGAAGATTATTACTTATAAGCGTGAAATATTCTAATTATTTTATTTTTGATAGGAATATTATCAAATTTTCTTTACATTGCAGGGCAGGTTCCAGGTACATGTTGCGTCCCAGCAAGTCCATCCCCTCGAACTGGCACCCCATCCGGGACCGCAAGGGCGCTGACGACGACGCCTCTCCTGCGCGCGACCGCCTCCCTGAGCGCCTCAGCCTCCACGACTACGTTGGCCTCCTCAACGACATCCTCAGGGCGGGCAAGAACCTCGCCCTCTGTAGGCACTTCGACGCTCTGAATAAGGAACATATCATCAGGTCTGGGGGCTTGGTACCGTACATTTAGCTTTATTATAAATCAATTGTACTTTCCGAGTCTCAAATATTCAATGGCATTTTTTTCATATTTTAGTTTTTGAATCTTTTTTTTAGATGTTCACCATCACATTGCAAAATTTCTGGAAAAATATAGCAGATTAAAGCATTTTGAATTTAAAACAGTATCAGCTAGACAACAACGCAATTCTAAATTACTTGAAATATTTTAATTTCTGTTGACTTCTTCCAGGAATAAATCAAACAAATAGTGCTTAGAAACAGGTTTATTGGAATAAAATCATAATTTGTCGACACTGATAATCTACGGCTAAATAAACTCCATTATTGTGTACCTCCGTTTAAAATAAGTTTTTGGTTGGGAATTATCGAAATATTTACCCTGAGAAGGCAATGAAATATTTCACCCCTGTAGCTCGGTGGTTGTCTCCTCATATTATTTTGGTCCCTCAGACGCCGCAACCAACCCGTGCGCTACATCGACGTGTGGCCCATCAACTTCATGTGTCCAGAGACATCCACTCTTGACGATACCGCGTCTCTGTTCACCCTGCAGCTCGGCACTATTCTCAACATGGTGAAGAAAGAGATATATACGTTATCATTATTATTCACGCGTTTATCATATATCTAATTTAAGCACTGTTGATCATATACTTAACTAAAATGCTTGCTGGTAAGGTGTAACAACCGTATTGTAAAAAGTGTTCTTGTGTTCAGGTGAAGTGCTGTGCTTGCTGGTAAGGTGTAACAACCGTAGTGTAACAAGTGTTCTTTTGTTCAGGTGAGGTTCTGGAGCTTGCCGATAAGATGGAACAGCCGTAAACCGTAGTGTAATAAGTGTTATTGTGTCCAGGTGAAGTTCTTGGCCCATACTTTCAAAAAAATTAAGAGATCGTAAGTTCATCAGCCAATCATTGACGGTCTTTCAAGCAAAATCCACCGATCATAGACATGAAAATAAAGCGTAAGTACTTCGTTCACTTAGCGAATTTTGAAAGTATGGCCCCTGGAGCTTGCCGCTAAAGTGGAATGGCCGTAGTGTAACAAGTGTTCTTGTGTTCAGGTGAAGTTCTGGAGCAAGAACACCAAGTATCGCGTGTTTCTCATCGAGCCCTTCGAGTGGCCGCGTGACTTCCTCACCGAGCAGCAGGCTAAGGTTAGGAGCTTCTTTTGCATCAGCGATCAATAACTAAGTTTGTATAATCACTTTGTCTCACTGTTGACTGAGAGAGATGCCGACTACACAAAGAAAAGTATAGTTTTGTAAATTGAAGTATAATTCAATTATTTGTCTATATGAAATTTTTAATTTTCCTGAAATGGATTCAACATTTATTACTTAATGCTTTTAATGAACAAAGATTTCAGAATTTTATCAAAATTCATAATTTTATATTCTGATTAACCTCAAAATTCTGACCGACAAGCGTTGGTACTTCGTAGAATACGTATACGGTATGTATGTACATTTCCATTCATATCATACATTATGTATTTGCTATGGTAGCTTTAGGTATATGTTCTTGTACAGCTCTCTTGTGCTCACCAGTTTTATCTGTGCTCAGATCAAGGAAACTCTGGCGTCTGTACGCATGAATGCGGAGATCGTCTCTGTGCCATGGAAAGCTCCTCCTAAAACCAATAATCAGGTACTGATGTCAAGAAAATAACTTTGATACATCTTTATTTGTAAGATAAATAGAGTGTTTTCTTGAGCATAGAAAAAAATTAACTTGCCGGATGAGTCATCTTGCTGATTATATATATACCTCGTAACCTCACACAAAATTGAAAAGTCTGATAGAAAATATGAAAGCTAAATAAGTCAAGAGCGAAAATATGAAAGCTAAATAAGTCAGGAGCAATAGTGAAGGAAGGAAAGCGTTTGTCATTTTGTCTTCTTTTAATAACTGTAAGTTGTTTATTGTGTATGTGGGTATGATGTATGTGATAGATTTATGAATTTTAAAAATTGTTTAAACGTGAGGCATACTGCGTTCTTTTTGTCGTAGTTGGAAGGTGTGACGGTGCAGTCAGCGAGTCAGACCTCACAGGGCATCCATGACGCCAGTAACTTCTCAAGTGAGTGTAAATAAATACATTTATTTTACAAAAAAAAAAAAAAAATGTTGGTGCGAAATCTAAATAAAATGTTGCTATCACGTACGACAGAAATAATATCGATGTCTTACTTAAAGCGCAACATGTAAGTCAGGATAGAACTTTTAAGTAGTAAGGAGGTATTTGCAATCGTTTGGCGAGGCAATTATTACAGTTTATTTTATTCTAATTGGTTTCACTGCATTTTTCACATCATCGTCAGTCCCTTTCTGTTGAATTTTGAGATCAGTAAATCTTTTACCACCATTGGAGTCATTCCCAGCCTGTTGAATTTGTCAACCTGAGTCAGCCACAATCTGTTCAATTTAGGACCTTCAGGTCCGGTGATCTGATCTATTCTGTTGAATTTGGTACATCTTGGCACTATCTGTTCCGACGAGTCCTTACCATTCTGTTGAATTTGACGACCGGTTTGCTTCATCAGTTGCGACGATTCATTTCCATGCTGATGAATTTGACGACCCGTTTGCCTCATCAGTTGCGACGAGTTATTCCCATTCTGTAGACTTTTTCAACCTGTTCACACTGTTACCGGACGTTCGCCGCTACCTTTCATCTTGTCAGAATGCTTCGAGCCTTACGACGCCGGCAACTGTAACTGTCTTGTAAAAATACACTGAATTTTGTCTAAGTTAAATTGCACTTTATTGCACTAAGATTTCGTCAATTAATTAAAACTTCGGTTTACACGGATAATACGTAATTTTGATTTCATCAAGGAACAGTTTAAAACAGGCACGTTTAAAATTTCAAACTATAGTGACATCAGGTTCATGATAGAGAAACAGTTTGATAAATCTTTCACGGCACAGCCACGACTCTAGCGTTAATGCAAAGAAACTCTGAGAGTTGATAGAACTGAGTGAGTTTAGGTAAGAAGAACCAAGCTGCACGACTGGCGGGACACGACTGACTAACTGACTCTCAGCCGCTCAGACCTAACCTTGTACTCCGTCCTTACCCCTGAAGTAAGATTCGACATCAATGTTACTAAGGCGGCTACGCCTGATGTGGCTTTCGGTATGCACATGAGATTAATAACATGAACGCGGCTAATGGTGAACGACGTCTACCGTTCACAACACCATCTGTTCCAACAGGCCATTCCCATTTTGTTGAATTGGACGACTTGTTTACACCATAAATTTCAAAAAAATCATTCCCATTCTATCGAATTTGTTGACCTGTTTGCATCATCAGTTGCGACGAGTCATTCTTATTCTGTTGGATTTTTCTGTCTGTAAGGGGACATTCAGGTCCCTTGATTTTGACCCATTTGCACATTCTAGATCGTTGAGTCATTTGCGTTGTTTTGAATTTATCGACCTGTTTGCACATCACAGGCGCGTTGACAAGCTCCAGCAGCAGCAGCAGCGGCGGCCGAGGCGGCGACGTGACTGGCGAGCAGCTGACGCGGTTGACGGCTCCCTACCTCGACGACGTGAACAGCGCCCTGCGCACCCACGGCACCGCTGCTGCCGTCACGCTCCTCAACGTCTCCCCGCCTCCGCTCGATGTCTCAAAATACCAGGCCTATATCGACGCCCTCACCATCATCACTGATGGCATTGGCCCTTGTGTCATGGTGCACGGCGTCTCTAAAGTCACCACAACCATGCTGTAGTTGGCACTTCTAAAGCCACCACAACCATGCTGTAGTTAGCTCTTCTAAAGCCACCACAACTATGCTGTAGTTAGCTCTTCTAAAGTCACCACAACCATGCTGTAGTTAGCTCTTCTAAAGTCACCACAACCATGCTGTAGTTAGCTCTTCTAAAGTCACCACAACCATGCTGTAGTTAGCTCTTCTAAAGTCACTACAACCATGCTGTAGTTAGCTCTTCTAAAGTCACCACAACCATGCTGTAGTTAGCTCTTCTAAAGTCACCACAACCATGCTGCAGATGGTGTTCATCACACTCCTCAACAACATAGGTATAAGCATTTTTACTTCACATGGAATGGTCCCATTCTCTCCGTCGCCCTCAACTCTACCCCGGGTTTACATCCCATGTCGACGTCATTATTTCAGGCGCCAGAAAATGGCTGGAGTTTAACAGGGCTCGTGATCTCTCTGTACATTGTAGACTGTGCCTGCATATAAAAAATGTGTCTTGTAGCCAGCAATACATCGTACGTCATCCTTTTAAGCGTGAGAGTCAAGTCCTGCTTATCGAACTGTATATTTCTTTTTAATGCTGTGTTTGTTCGCTTTCTTTTCATGCTTATTGTGGTAATCGGCGAATGCAAGCTCACCTTTATAGATATCACGTTGCATGTAATGGCTTTTATTTCTTGTTATGATAAGTAATTTTTTCATGATTTTTATCATTTAGAAATTTTATAAACTTTCTTCCACACAAACCAACGTCAGATTTCAACGCATTCGCCCGCTTTTTAGCGCATTTTCTCATTTATGGAAAAAATGCACTATTGTGCTCGCCATGTCTGCCTGTCTGTCTGTCTGTCCGTCCGTCCGTCTGTCCGTGACCTCAAGTTTTCGTCGACGAGAAAATGCGCTCTCTGTCACTCACTGCAGTGAGTATTGAGTTATATTTTTTATTACTTCTTGTTGTCTCAATTGTGATGCCGGCCATTGGCAATCCCGTTAGTGACGTCGCATATCACCATTATTTATTTTCATCTTTCTCAAGAATCAGCGCTGTTCGTAACCGTTCGTTTTTGCTTCGTTTAATCTGCATTAAAAAATTGTGTGTGCCCGCGCAAGGATCTGGTGAAATAGCAGCAAACCTAATGCGCTATGGTATTATTTTGTGCTCTGAATGCTTACAAGTTTTAAAATCTGTCCTTTATATGTGATGCTTTGTTCTTGATTTTAATGTTTTACCTATAAGTAACTATCCAAAGATCGCAGTTATGCCAGTATGGTGATATTGTATTGAATTTTCATTCCATTGTAAGAGTCATTACCCAATGATCATTCCCGCGCTTTCTTTTTCAAAAAGCTTCATGATAGGAACTATATCTTGCAATTATACGAATATCATTTGATGAAATTATGTTGCATTATTTGCACTAATGAATGTAATTTGCTAATAACCTTCGTTCTAACCGTTTTAGACAATCTTGTAGACAATCTCATTAACGGCAATATCTTACCACCATTTATTTAATGTTCTTTTACATAACCATCCTATAGTCTATGCTTATCTCTTGTATTCCTATTATCTATTGATATTTATTCTATTACGATATTATGTCTTGCATATTTTGAATTAAGATTAGATTAATTTATTAGACCAATTGCAATACTAGAGAAAATTTTGATTTTATCAAACAAGGTTGATATAATATGCGGAAAATGTTTGTCAACTTTGTTATATTGCTTCCGTAGTACCAAATGTTATTTTTTAAATCACAATGAACATGTAAACCTCCAGCCCAAAATTCAATAATGTTTCAGTACAGAGATTCAAACCTGAAAATTCGCTGCCGAGGCAATGTACCAGGGACATTTTTCACGAACCTTTTTTGACAACGAACTTTCTTTGATGACAAACATTCTGACGACGAACATTCTTTGACGACGAACATTCTTTGACGACGAACATTCTTTGACGACGAACATTCTATGACAACCAATATTCTTTGATAACTAACATTCTTTGACAACTAACATTCTTTGACAACTCACATTTTTTGACAACTAACATTCTTTGACAACTAACATTCTTCAAAAACGAACATTCTTTGACGATGAACATTCTTTGACAACCAACATTTTTTGACAACTAACATTTTGTGACAACCAACATTATTTGCCAACTAACATTATTAGCCAACTAACATTCTTTGATGACAAACATTCTCTGACAACGAACATTTTGTGACAACCAACATTCTGTGACAACCAACATTCTTTGACAACCAACATTCTTTGCCAACTAACATTCTTTGATGACAAACATTCTCTGACAACGAACTTTCTTTCACGACAATCCTTCGTTGTTGAGATAATGTATTGCAGTATTGAATTTTTGATCTGATTCTAAGCCACGTTCGTAACTCCAAGTCTCTTTTTGGTTCACATGACAAGACTATGGTGTGCTTTTTTGCGATCTGCTTGTATTTCAGATTTTACCGAACCCAACCAATATCAAGCAATTCCATGTATATAAAGTCGGTCGCTTTTTAGCCCTTTTAATGTATTCACAACTTACAATTGATTAGGAGATTGATGATACCGTTAAACTCACTACTAAAGTACATGAACGTAATAGTTATGTGCTCTGCGTCGCAAGCAAAAATTTATGGGGAAAAAAATGAAGCTTTTTGTTCGGTTGTATGGGTTTTTGGCTGTGAAGTTGTAGCTCTGCTTCCGTTCCTATTTTTCTTCAGCATTTGAGTCTAAATGAACATTATAGAGTTTTCTTAACTTGATGGCTATCTTGTTCATGCTTGAGCCTTTGACCAATGTTATAAATTGTGGTCTCTCTTAGGATCAATTCAATCCCAAAATTGATGGTCTCAATCAATAGAAGTAGTTTAAATGGATTGAAATTGAATAAGGCTCAGAGTAGAAGCATCAAATGAAATGGATAAAATGTATTATTAAGTTAAATGCGGTCTAAAAGAGATATAGGGTTAGATTTCAGGTTCCTGATGCTCAAGGAACCTGAATGACGTCATGACGAAATGATAACGTCATTTGAGGCAAGTTAGAGAATTATCTTTTTATTCGCTTCCTCCTTTTTGTTTTTATTGCGATTTTTCTTTTTTCTTTTGCCTCAGTGCCAAGCATGTTTTAACGTGCATTATTAGTGTCTTATGCATGAAATCATTTTGGTTAATTTATCACAGAAAATACCCGAAAATGATATCATTACCCAAGGTATTTTACTTTAAGTGATCGCTAAATATGTTGGTCCTTGTTGCCTTCCTTAAATCTTTGCCGCCGTTCTCATCACAACCTATGATTATCGTTTTATTCGACTTCAAGATATTATTATTCGAGTTTAATTCAAGGAGCCTGGAAAAAATTACGCTTTTTGTCCAGTTTTCCTACTCTTAATTTTATCTGTGGAATATCAAGTTATTGAACTCGTTCTGTTTCAACCGTGATGTAGGCTTACTAGGTAAGAAGTTTCTTTATATTAATAAAAATTTTACAATCCGTTTTTAAACTATAATTTTCTTTAAATTCCTTCTCTCACAGTTCAATAACTTCCGCTTGCATGAATCCCGCTTTACCAACTTCTAAGTCGAGGTCTTCTCGGCTCGTTGCGATTGCGAGAACATTTTTAAGCCTTTTGTTTGTACTGACTACAGCGTAAATTCTTCGTTGTTATTTTTTTCTGGAGTTCATCGGCATTTACGTCCTAATTTCCGTGAATCGAGAATAGAAGTTGAATCAACTTGGAAGATAATTCCTGTTCACAGTTTGTTGCTGTCTGAATTCTTTTGTTGTCAGGCTTCCTACTTGCAGAGAACGTTTTGCTATAAGACCAAGTTCAGTTATTCGGTAGATGAACGTGCACTGAACCACGAAACTCGGAATATGAATTTCAATCACGATTTCTACACGATATGGTAATGAATTTCTGAGTTGAGTGTCTGGATGCATGCATGGGATGCGTATTGATTACCTACAGCCTAGCAAGAGTTGTATCCTCGCGGTTTCTAGGGTGGCTTTTCCGCAAAGCAATGTTGTGATTCTGACGTCACTATTTAGGCTGCTTATGCCATAAATTTACAGCAGCAGCGATGCCTTGTTTGGTCATCTTGGAAAAAAATTAGCGGTCACTTTCGTTCCTCATTTATTATACTATAGTTTATTTGCATGGAAGTTGATTGGGCGTCCGCACAAATGAATGGAAACATGAACCCTTCGTTATCTTCGGAAAAAATTTAATCTAGAACATCTGTGTTGAATCTTAGAAGTAGTCGCTGTGTTGTGGTTGTATGTCATTTTCTGTATTGTCCAGGGTATAGAGTTAAATAACAGTAACATAATATTTAGAACTATCATTTTAGTAGAACTTACCTTGAAATAAATCGACCCTCAACCAGGACTGGTATCTTTCTCGTGCGAATATCAGAATTGTACACAGTTCAAGTTGATCTGTCATTTATAAATAAATCTTCAATGAACGCCTGAAAATTTAGGAAAATATACATCCGGGGTTTAAAAACTGTACCTGAGAACACGCAAGTTTTTATCTTTACTTGACGCAAAAATGCACATATCTGTCACTGTAAAATAACTGAGTAAATATATTTTAATTCGTTAACCACGTTTCATTTCGTTAATCATCACGTTAATCACGCAATAACTTAATATACGCTGGAAGGAAAAGGAAAATAGTCCGTCGCTATGTCACTTCCGATGTGAATGGCGAATTATGGGTAAAATTCACCGTAAAAGGAAATAATGTCTCCATTTTTAAGTTTTCTCTCTTTTCAGTAAAATGTATTTCAATATTGCATAATAAGCTAGTTTATATGTATGGTGGATTATAAGTTTGTAAAATAAGCACTGATGGAATATTTAATCCGAGAGTTCCACTGATTTATAATATTATTTTATGTTTCCATTATGCTCCTCTTTTTGGAAGTAATGAGATGAAGCTGTCCAGCATCTAACAAACACACACAATTAAAACATATTTTAATTTAAGTGAACAAATTACTGGGTATCTAATTTAAGTTTTATGATCTTTTAAAAGTTTATGGTCGTCCCCAAAACCGTCTGCTGCACCTTCACGTCATAAATGAGTCCTACACATACAAATTAATTTAACATTTAAGAAATGTTTGGTGCAATATAAAAACTAGACCAAAACTTAAAATCACGGGCTTTGCCATGGCGATTATTCATTGGAACGCAGAGACTGCAATCCGGATTTTTGTACGTGCTACGATTAACAGTAAATATTTCTATGACTGATCAAACTGATGTGTTCAAATTAAATAAGAAACAAGAAATGATTTGATTTTTTATTATTTAGTCTCAGACAGTCGAACTGCAATGTTCACTCTACATTGAAATATTTGCATTCAATTGATAATGCAAATAATTTGGGTAAAAATAGATTATTTAATACTCGAGGACCAATACTCTAGAAGAATGTCATCCCTTTCTAGTTTGAAATTTTCTTCCTTAATTAAGTAACTGTACACCTAAAGACATAACCATTTTTGTTCACTAACAAGCACAGGCATGTCTATTAAATTCTAATTCGGTGCCTCGAACTAGGCAAGTCCGACCTTCGGCTTATAATTAAAGCATTCTAATTCTGATAGGACCTCAAAATATATTAGTTCAAGGACGAACCAGGCGCTCTGACTACTTCTTCAGCTCATAATTGAACAAATGGAAAATATATTCACAAAAGCTAACGGAAAAAATAAAGTCGCTTCAAGCGATCGGCATCATTCGCAGTAAGAATAAAACTATCTTACGTATACTTAAACCAATAATCGTCGAATTATAATTTTATTCGTGTTTTAAAGCCGGAAAACATGCAAATAAAGGAGACAGGATTACAATAAACAAATACAGACAGAATAACTTCGAGTAAAGTTATATCTCTAAAGAATAATTAATGTCTGTGTTCGATGGAAATGTTTCACGTCAATTCAATTTTCTCTCAGAATCAATGCTTTTTAAACAGTTTATTTTAGGTACATTTTTTTTCAAAATGCTGTGATATAGATATTAATCTAATTCGGCTCGAACATTCGGATTACCTGACCATTTATTTCATAAAACGTATTGCCGCAAGTTAAAAGGAATGCTTCGCGATCATGTTTCTTGAAGAAATTTCTGAGAGATAAAAAGTTACATTCATCATGACGTTTATGGGATTATAAATTTGACAGTTTTCACTGTCAAATCGACGAAATAATTGAGGCTTCTTTTACTAAAGCAATATTCATCTATTGTTTATCATAATCAGTAAAAGTATCTACATAAAAGAAGTAGAAGCAATTCGACAGAAGTAGGTGCAGAATTGCGATCACTTCATTTGAGTATTTCTGATTTATGTGCAGCCTCAAAAGTTTGAATAAACATATAATACATTACTGTCCTTTGCTTAAATTTACTAATCGTAGTCTAAATTTTTGGTCAGCACATTTGCATTAGGAACAAATTCCACCGCAGCGAGCTGATCAACTAATCTAATTTAAACTTTTTACCAAGCAACTCAAGTGTTGAATATCACTATATAATTTGATTTTTAATTTATCACCCTGCCGTTAATCAAAAGGTAAAAGAGAAATTGACCTTAGCGAATTTTTCTGCCGTGTGAACATTAGGAATTTGTTTGGGACCTCTTGACATTTGCATTCTATAAATAAATATCCTTCTGAATCTGCAGTACAAACTCGGTCTTTTATTCTTCAGTTATGCCCATGAAAGCGTCACTATTAGCTCCGACAGACAAGAAGCAACTAACATTCTGTTGGATACTTCACACAAGAAATAGACCCAAAGTCCTAGCACACTTTTTAAAGCAAACTCCAAGCTACAATATTTTCAGACGCTGCTCTCCAGTGCACCTTCAGGCATAATAAGCCGTCCTCTATCGTCTGCATCGAGACTCCTATTGGCTTGCGATGTCGCGCTCGGGGGTGCGGCTCCGGCAGGCTTGAGGAGAGGCTGCAAGGAGGCGTCGGCTGGAGGAAGATCTTTTATGTCCTCGTTCTGTTGACGATGTTTTTCCTGTTGAGCGAGGTATTCAGGATCAGCGAGCCTTGTCCTAACGTGGTCTATTGAGGCATATTCTGTCTCTTCATCCTTCATATCCTTTTTCTTTTTGGCCTTTTTCTTCTTTTTCTTTGCTTTCTTGTCGTTGACAAACTCCAACTCTGCGTACTCCACTTCTGCAGGAGGGGCATCAGGTCTCGGCAGAGTTGGCGCAGGATGAATCTGCAATTTATTTCAGTTACGCATAAATAAACAGGAAAAGAAGCAAATATTAATCAGATTTTATTCGGCTGCGTTTCTATTCACAACGAAACATCACAAATTTCATAAATTATTAATTAGACACTCTCCTAACGACAATTAAATTTAGAGTTCACTCAGATTAAGAATTCATTTCGGATCAAATATCGGTATACATAATAAATAGATAGATAGTAATTATTAAATTTCTAAAAATAGAGTTGAACCTCGTTTCAAGTTGCTCCCAGGAAACTTCTTTCTGCTAATTTTGAGTACTATAGAAGCTTAAACATCTAACATTAAAGTTTATGGGATCGCTTGCCTAGTTGACATTGCTCGAAAATGAAACTATCAAACAATATGCGGCTGTGAAACGAATTGGATGAGATAATAAAGTATATGTACAATGAACTCGAGAAATATAATTTTCAATTAAAGTTCGCTAAAATATCATTCATATTTGCTGTAGGCTACCTTTTTCGCAACGTCTGGAGTGCCGGAGGATACGGGAGGTGCGGGTGGGAAGTTGATCACAGTCTGCTTGCCACCTCTGGATACACCCTCGTCTGGTCCTGGGACGGGCGTGGTATTGTTAAAGATAAAGCTTTCATTAATTTAATTATTTCAAGTTCTATTCGGCAGTGCAATTGAATATGTATTTTTAGATTAAAGGAACTAAAGGAAAACTTCATCCGCGAATAGTAGGAACTCTACGCCAATCGGGCGTGATAAAATAATTATCATAATATTCCATGTCAGGGGGCAGAAGAAAAATTTCGCAAATTATGTTAGAAATTTCGAACACGGTTGAATGAGTGTATCATCAGCTGGGGAAAAATCATTAAAATCCTGTCCATCCACATTTTGCATCAAATTACAGCCATACTCATCTCACCCAGTGGCTTTTTGCTGCATTCCTTGTCATCGCCGTGCTTCAATATTGGGGTCTCGCTACATTTTAATTTAGATTTCTGCGTTGATTTGTTAGTCTTGAGTTTCATGATGACCATCACGACGATAACCATGAGGATCACCGCTGCCCCGACGCCGATTAGGATCCCTAGAATAGGCGTGATTGGCAATACGTGGATCGAAGTCAAATCTGGGAACGAATTGTTCAACACCATGTCAATTATTCCACACTAGGTTAACTATTAAACACTATGTGAGCAATCCACCACAATGTGAAGTATTATAAATTAAATACAATAACTTTACACCACAATCGGAATATGGAAAATAAAAATTTAATATCGTCGATGAAAAAATTGAAATAAGGGCTTGGATATCAAGTGCAGTATTTCCGAAAAGGATGTACGCAACCCGCTAAATTATTTGTGTAGTTATGTAGTGTCATGCGCAGTGCAAAAACAAATTAAAAAATAACAATCTTATTTAGAAGAGTTAGAAAAAGGATTGATTGATTACAGATTTACCAAAAGATTTTTTCGGAACTATATGCTTCCGAAGTGAGTTACTTCTTTTTTATTTGTGGATGAGTTGCACTGCTTACCGATGTTTGCTTTCAGTAGAGGCTGAGTGAACGCGTGGACCGTGAGTTTCTCAGAAGCTCCTCTGATGTTGCTGCTATAGGCTGCGATGGTGTAGCCAGATCCTGGGTCAAGTTCCTCAATAATGAAGATTGGCGAGGAGCTGGAAATATTTCGAAGCAAACGATCACTTGTGATGTCGTAGATTTCGGCTACATATATCTCTGGCAAGCCATTTTCGCTGCCACCGAGGCACTCAAGAACCACGGTATGGGTGTCGTTGTTGGCCGAGGAGCAGTTAGCGAGTGGTGATGGAAACACGGCAGCTACAAGTTCAAATTTACACGGCATCTCTTGCTCTCCGATTAGGTTTTTAGCCCAACAATATAGTGTACCATAATCCATAGGAGTTTTTGGCGTGTAGCTCAAAATTGAGAGCTGATCCATAACTTGGAATTGTCTTTCTGGCATATCAATGGATTGACTGCCTGTTTTTAGTTGCCATCTGAACGATGTTGGGTCTGGCGACGAGTTAATGCGACAGCCAAGTTTGACTTTTTCGTACGTGTCCGTGCCCACCAACTGCAGGCCTGAATCTCTGCACGTTGGCTTATCTGTGGTGAAAAAGACACAAAACTGCTTTAATATATGATGATACAATGAGTATAATCTATGTTATAATAGGACAACTTGCTCAATATTGATGGTATTGATCAATACTATTGTTTGAACTCCAAAAGTTACTCTATAATACTACACTGCTGTTTTTTAAACTCTAGAAATTACTATACATAAGACACCAAGGCTGATCTTTAAACTAAAGGAATTACTCTATAACAATTCGAAATTGTCAATTAAACTCACAGTTAACCTGAAGGACGACAGTATTACTGTGCCCCACTCTGACGCTGTTGGTAGCAACGCAGGTGTATACGCCGGACTGGTTACGCGACACGCCGGACAGCGACAGCTCCGCCCCCTCCACCCCCTCCAGCTTGCGAATATCTTGCCCAACCTGCGGTGTGTCAAGACCGGGTTACATCCAGCCAATCCATGGGTAATTAATTATTTGCGAATATCTTGCCCAACCTGCGGTGTGTCAAGACCGGGTTGGATACAATTAATCCGTGGAAAATAATTTAATTAAAAACAACTCTCGAACGCATTGAAGAGTTAAATCTGGAGCAGCTTAATCTGGTAATGATCAGCTTGTATTCTTTAAGAATTGCGAAATAAAGCATAATTTTAAAATATTTTATTTTAATAGTTGGGATAGCTTATTTCAGCGCTCCATTATGACCTGAGCTCGTCAATATGGTATCAGAAGCATTTTATCATGGTTTACAATTAAACTATCTCATGAAATGAAATTGTCTTACAAGTTAGCTGGATAAGACAGGGTTAAAGTTTAGAAATTATGGATATTAAGAAGCATTAGCATGAAAATTAAAACAAGCCGAGAAATCATGGAATCATATTTATGTGCCCATGACAGGATAAACTATGAGAAAAAATGAAAGTCTAAGGACTTCAGAACTGGCATTTCACTATCATTTATGCTAACATAAATGATAGTGATCATAAATCTCCCCGTATTGAAATTAAGCGTTCCGTATATTTCAATCTTCGCCTTCAAATTCAATATAATTTAAAATTACGACACAACTCGTCGTCGTATTTTAGGGATACCGAGAAAAATCTGTGGTGTGGCCGTGTACCATCATCACCTTATGGTACCAGTGGATGAGGCGTGTACCATCATCACCTTATGGCACCAGTGGATGAGGTGTGTACCATCATCACCTTATGGTACCAGTGGATGAGGCGTGCACCATCATCACCTTATGGTACCAGTGGATGAAGCGTGTACCATCATCACCTTATGGTACCAGTGGATGAGGCGCGTACCATCATCACCTTATGGTACCAGTGGACGAGGCGTGCACCATCATCACCTTATGGTACCAGTGGATGAGGCGTGCACCATCATCACCTTATGGTACCAGTGGATGAGGCGCGCTGGAGGGTCGGCGTCCACATTGCAGGTCATTAGGACGTCGGCGCCCTCGACGACTCCCCTCTCGACGTCGTGCCCTCTTATCTCCAGCTCCACCGACCCCATGTCTGTCCACAGCACGGCAGCATTTATCAACATTCATGAGCTATATATATTACATAAACGCTTCTAGCGTAGCAACATGTTAGGAACATATATCATTTATGCATAATATATGAAAAGGTTCTAGTGCAGAAACAGTTTAGGAATATATATCATATATGTGTAATATATGAAAAGGTTCTAGTGCAGCAACATGTTAGGATCTATATGCATAATATATAAAACGCTTCTAGCTCGGCAATGAGTTAGTGACATGGATGAACCTTCCTAACAAACCAACATTTAATTTTAATATGTGATTTCACTGGAATTTATGTGGAACAATTAACAGTTTCTCATGGCACATCAAGTTATTGCTGAGTTATCCACATTTAAATTTCATAATTAAGTTATACCTTATGCAATACCTAAATCATGGAAAATTCAATGGTTTCCGAACAAATTGCTGCCGTAAAATTTAATGGCTCCAGAAATTTAATTCAGAAAGTCTACTTCGTTCTGATAAGTTCTGATAAGTAATTATATATTGATATATAATCATTATATAAGTAATTATATAATGATAAGTAATCATATAATGATATGTAATTTTTCCCATTTATGCTTCTATAATACCTGTCTATACCATCATTTAACAACTTATATAATGATTTACTGATACAGAAAGAACGGATAAGAAATGGACAATGGACGATGATATCATAATTTATTGGTGTAGAATGAACGGATAGGATAACTGGTGATGGCACATATAAGGGACGGTGAGACGATATAAAGATTAATTGGTATAGAAAAAACGTATGAAAGGCTGGTAGCAACTCACAATAAATGTTGAGCATATATCATAATTTATTAATGTATGAAAAACGGATATAAAAACGGGTGAAGACTCACAATGGATGATGATAGCAAAATTTATTGGTGTAGAATAAACGGATAGAAAAGCTAGCAGTAACTCACAATGTATGTTGAGCATTTATCGTAATTTATTAATGTAGAGAAGGACGGATATAAAATCAGGTGAAGACTTACAAAGGATGATGATATCATAAATTATTGGTGTAGAATGAACAGATAGAAAAGCTGTTAGAGACTCACAATTTATGTTGAGCATATATAATAATTTATTAATGTAAAAAAAACGGATATAAAATCAGGTGAAGACTCACAATGGATGGTGAGACGACGCGAGTCTACGAGAGGGGCGTGGCTGATGACGGGAGACTCTGCGCGGCACTGAAGCTCTTTGTGTTTGTTCTGGATGACTGGGATGAGGACCAACGTCGAGAGCGTCATGTTGTCTCCTTCTGATATCTGATGGAAACAAAACACATCATAAGAACTTGGTTCCCACTAGCTAATGAAAAAAATCAGCAATGCACAAATCAAGCATTTTTCGGGAAAATTTGGAAAAATTCCTCAATAAATCTTAGTTCTGGAAGCAAATCACATGTATTGGATTCCTACCGGTTGATGAAAAAATTATACATGAACATTTTAAGAAAATTTATATGAAATCGTCAAGAAATGTAAAAGAGCATTTCGTGCCTCAATTAATTTTAACGTATCCTCTGACAAGTACCAACATTATATTTTGCATGGTACTCCCGTTCAGCTCAGCTTCTTTAAAAATATATTCTTGAGTATGGTTCGAATATTTGAAATTTTTTTGTGTCCGGGAATCGAAAAAAATATGCTTCAAATAAAACTTGGCACTTGGTGCCTAACAAATTTGCGAAATAATCAAGAAAGAAACTTTCAATTTTACTGACCTGGTTGTAAATCTTTTGGCTTGAATTGTCGAGTTGCTGTCCATCCAACCACCAAGTGAGCCGGGCAGGGGGCAACGCTCCCACCGTCTGGCACTGCAGAGGGTAAGACTCGCCCACTACCATTGGCGTCTCGTTGGTTACGATCTGCACCGAAGTCGGCTTGACTAGGGAAAAATAATATCTTTAGCAGCATAATTCAAATTATGATTGTGACGTTACACTTCACTTTAACGTTGGCTTGATAGTTAGGATAAGTCGAGCCACGAGAGTAACAATTATAAATAAATATGCAATAATAATTATATTAATAAAAGTAGGATTGTGACCTAACACTCTGCCCCGACGTCGCCTTGACTGCAGGAAAAAGGTCGAGTCGTAAAGAGAACATTTGGATTATTATTATTATTACGTTACATTCTGCGCTAACATTAGATTGTCTGCTGACATAAGTCTAACCAACAGTAAGAGAACGAATCCAAAAGCTTCGCAGTTTCCTCATATTCAGTCAAAATGTTTTTAACTTTTGCTATATCACGCCTATCACACCTAGACCCTCGTGACATATACAATATTCATTGTCAATGCATTCAATCCATTCTTAGTGAACAACCGTTTACATAGTCACTCACATCTAATGTTGACCCAGAAGACGGTGTTGAGTGGTTTGATGAGTTTTGGTGTCTGTGCGTGACAAACCAGCCGAGCGTTGGAGTGGTTGCGTGTGAGTGGTCCGAAGAGCAACCTGTTGCGCACCACGCCTGTCGCCTCGGTGTCATGGTCGCCGTCCAGCAATTCTTGGTCCCAGTACCAGTTTACGAAAGGGGGCGGCACGCCTATTATAAGGTTAGAGCATAACAAATATAGTCGTATTGTTAAAAATCAGTTTGAATTTTAATAACGTTAGAATAGTGTGAAAGGCTCGCTGCAAGAAATCAGTGTGTTATGCACAAAACTGGCGGCTTGGTAGCTGAGTTCCCCAAAGGTGAAACTGGAAGATAATTAAACTAAAACTTCATGATGCTTGGGCATCGATCATTCAGATAAGTTTCGACATAGAAGATAATATCAATGCTTAGAGATGATTTCTGAAAGCAATCGAAAACTTATCATTTACGGATTCATTTACTCGAACTTGAAAAATAACCTGCAATGATTAGAAAAAAATATAGTCGTCAGGAAAACACAGAACTTCAAAATAGTTATCAATTAAAAACTTCAAGCTTTCAAGAAAGTATACACTAAATTTGAAAGGATATTCAAATAAAAATCGTATTAATCACGACGGTCATAAGACAGTTCGCTCACCTCCGGTGACCTGGCATGTGAGGTCAGCGGTCTGGCCCTCGTTGAAGGCGACGCTGCTGCTGTTCACTGCAACGCCTTCCGCGTTCAGGATGGTCGGGGGGTCCGGTGGCACTGGCGGGAAAAATAAGGCTTCAATGATGTTCATTGATAGATATAAAGATAATTTACATTAGGTGATATATTCATGTGGGTGCTTTTACACTTATATTTTAAAATTTGTATAACATTTGATGAAAGTCAAGTTCTTGATGCAGAAATTCAACTAAAAATCATTGATTTTATGGAGCATTTGAGAATTGATAAATAACTATCTGGTACTGATTTATTTTGCGGATGTTTATCACAACTGCTAACTACTCGAAAATTGTTAACAAGCTAGAAATCAAGTGTCAAAGGATCGGGACTCACTGCTTATTAGTAAATATTTCAGAGAGTCAATTGATTGGCAGATTTTTTACACAATATTATTGCTGAAAAGAAGTCTGCATTTAATTTGAATAAATTAATATATGTATTATTAGTATATTATTATGTATTATTATAATCTATATTAATTTAATTGTTAGTTTCATCTAACCAAGGACTCTTAGGCGAGTGGCATCACTGTATGGCGATGCACCGATGAACACCCTGCATCTGTAAAGCGCTTCGTCGCCAATTACAACATTTTCGATGAAGAGAGCAGGCGGGCTGTGTAGAGGCTGGAAGGTAACTCTGTCACCTCCCCACACGCTGCCGTCAACCGTCTGCTCTGCGTCTTGCAAGGAGCCGTCAGCTTTGAATCTGATGTGGGATAAAGGCATGTAGTGATGATATTATAGATGATTGAAATGTATCTACATATTTGGATAAGAAACAAGGATCTAGTCAGCTCCGTAAGTGATCCTGGATGGGGAGATAAGGTATGGGGAAAAGTGTTGGACTACTTATTTTAAACGGAAATGCCTGTTTGATGGCGTCAATATCAGGCAGCTCTGAAATTAATTCAGGATGGAAGATGAAAGGAAACGTTAGCTTGCAACCTGCAATATTTCAGCAACTCGAAATAAATCACCTTTGGAACTGTTCCTAAGATGAGTAAAGATTTGATCGGTAAAATAGAACTTACAAATTGATTTACGCTGTATGGGTAATCTTCAGCATTGAAACTGATCGATAAAAACCCTACCTAGTTGATGAACATTTTGATCTGCTATTGTTATAAGATATTACATTATATTAGACTTCATAACTACATAACAATTGGTATTCCCACTACGACAGGATTAACTTGGTCTGACATCCAACACACACTCAAAAACAAGATGAATAGATATTATCTAGCCTGTAGGCCACTTGGCCGCATTCATTTTCAAGCGGCAACAAAAAATTGTCCTCACAGCTATTTTTGTAATTTGCAATCAAAATTTCTGTGGGTTGAAAAAAAATACAAATATCTTTTTTAAAGTATTCGGTACACAATCTACTATTTTTCGAATTGTTTTCATTCGCATCACGGTTAGATATAAAACAAAGTTATTTTAAATTTTTTGCCACACTAGCGATCTGAAATGCCTCATGGTTGCATAGATTCCATTCTTAAACGAAATCATGGAATAAATTGACGAGCGCAACCTCTGAAAAGTATTGAAAATACGTAGATTGCAACAGGGTTGCCAGATAGCCTAAAATTTACGGCCAAGTCCGGGAACAAAAAAGGTGTTTAACTCAATATCTAATAGTATATTTGTAGTTTCCGATGTAAAAATATTCCATTTCTTTTTTTTGCAGTTTTAAAAATTTTATTAGGAAGTACACCTATCATTAATTTTAGTCGGCTAACACAATTGAACGACTAAATCTGGTAATTTGTCCGGAAAAAATGACCGTCTGGCAACTCTGGCTTGAAGTCACGTTAGAAAAGGAGACTCCTGAAATTTTCGAGATAAACTTTCCAGTTCCAGAGTAAACCTGACAACACACTGTTTAGCATTGAATATATGCCTGAATTTACATGCAAGAATATATGAAGGCAATTACTTACACGTATGAAGCTTTCCCGTTGTTATCTTTATACCACAAAACACGGAGGCTTGTGGTGTTCGGAAAGATTGGGACCTTACAAGGCAATTCCGCTGTGCTGCCTCTCACCTGCTCCACTTGGTTTTCTGAAACAGAAGATGTATGAAACCTCAGTGCCGTCGTACTGAATTCCAATTTGAGGTCATGATTATTAACAATTAGAATACTTCGAATTGAACGGTTTAATATGGCTTTCGGTATTACTTCTTGCCATTAACATAGAGAGGGATTGTCAACGACGAAAATAAAAGACTGCCAGAATGTCATTAAATATGCAACGTAACACTGAACTCTGAAAAAAAACACTGAAAAATAAGCTCATTACACTGAAAAATAAGCTCATTACGTGAGATTTTTATATTATAACTGTTTCTGTAATTGTAATGGAGCAGACTTGAGTAGTTCGTAGGAATGCAACTACTCCACAGTAACGCCGAGTCCACTCAAGAAGATTTCCAAATAAATGTAAAATATCATTACATGGAAGAGAAATTTTTGAAAACATCGTGAAAATTCTAGCATTTTTATAAATATTTCAGTAATTTCATTGATTGTTCAGAGATCAATTTTCCGTAATGGCGCAAATGACATCTTGAGGTTACGAACACATTGCCCAAGTATTTCGAATGAAATTAACAGAATTCATAGCAGTAAGATGAATTACGAGATGATGAGTAGCGGAAGGTGATGCTAGGACATAACAAGCAACAGAGACCAATTGCGCCACTTGAGAGCGTCGCTGCAGTGGCCTCAACTGACCGGACGCGCCGACATTGTGGAGGCCACCGCGCTCTTCAACTCTTGTAGTGTTTCAGTGCTGCTTTTGTTATTATATAAGACTTATATTAATCTTATTTAGCCTGTAATGGTTTCATTTGCGGGTAATGTTTTAGATGTGGTCATTTTTTGGCTAAGAAAACAAGAATGTTATTGGGCTGAAAGTCTTCCTTTCGCGACATTATGTCAGATGCAAACTAGATTCTGCAACCGGTAGTTTTCGCTTTTGTTATTAATGTGAGAAGCCGAGTGTTACTCCTGTTTAACTGATAACATTATTAATACATAATATGAACAATAATTTACAGGAGAATTCTCTCTTAACAGGAACAATTGATTTTCCGCATTTACTTTTGGGCAAATATATACGAATGTGTGAGTAATTATTTTGTGATATTGATGATCTGTACGATGATTACGTTTGTACCCCAACAAAAATTAAGGTAAGATATTATAGACTCTAAGATATTATAGACTATAGGTTTCGACCTTTCATTCCTAGGAGTGCATGAAAGTTTTTTAGTTCCACATTCTTTCTTTGGTTTCTAAAGTAAAACACTTTTAATATTGAAATTCTGTGAGCGTAATACGCTCAACGAGCGACACGATCATTTTTCTAAACTATTTTTTTGGTCTCGTCACGAGAAAATATTTATATGCATAATTTCCTCCATTCATTTTTCTCCTACAGCGAGGTCAAAACGCATTGCAAACGACTCTCAATTTATACCTTAACAGCTATGATTGTTTCATCTTGTCTGCCATTTAATATTTTTAACAGTTTTTTTTCTGCACGCAGATCTCTTACCACCTTTTAGTTTCATTGATGCTAAAATCTGGATTTTTAAGGATCTAGTATGTTTTCATTTCTAACCTACAATGTAGAATGGCGCAATTGCTCTAAAAGAAGGTAGTCATATTCTCTCTCTCTCTGTCTTCTATATCTATTGCATTGCTTGCCACGACATCTACATGAATGTCACGTTGTACTTCATTGTTTCCTTAAAAATTTAATACAACTTGATGATGGCGCTACAACAATTCACATGGAAAGTTTTGTCTTTAATGTTTTCATAACGTAACATATTACGATTGAATTATCATCAGAATTTTAATTTATCTCAATCGTTTAGGGTTAAGTGTGATGTCATCTCTATTTCTGCAACAGTAACTTAACACTTACCGACATCCATCACACTCCATGGAGCGATGACGCAAATCCGAGCATGAGTATATCTTGAGTAGGGTCATGGGTAATAGTGCATAACAATCATACAATATCCTGCAGCAGGCGACTGACTCACCTGCTTGTGTCTGAATGCTTAGTGCCAGGAAGAGTGTAAGTACGAACATCATAACACTCCATTGTCCCGACGATTGCACACAGCAAGCTAAGCCATTTTTTGGCCGCAGTGATTGTTCCCGAGGTTCTTCATTGATGTCATCGAGTTTGTGGGCTGAGGGAGTCTCGCTGCCACTTATGTTGCTTGCAGACTTCTGATGTAGTCTTGTTGGGACTCTAATTTTGTGGAGCCTTCTTCGTTTGCGGTGATGTGCGTGACAAAACTCGTTGGTGACGCCAGCACTCCTTGCAGTCGCTGGCAGGGCCATGGTGAGTGAACTCAGCGACTATGATTCAAGAGACTGCCGTACAATAGGCCCAGCTTTGAGGCCTCAAATTTTACTCATTTTTTTCTTTAAAATTCACGCATCTTTCTTCTTACTCTTTATCTGCTCGTCTCCGTGTCGTAGATGCAAGCCATGATAGTGGAATGAAGTGGATTTTTGTCATCGATAAATCGATAATTCAATTTACTTTCAAAAACATCAATCAACTTCAAATAAATTGTAAACACATCACAATATCATTTCATAATTTCACTTTTGAATCACTGAAGATGCTGCTGAGGGGAAAAAGTTTTGGCATTAGAAAATTTGTGAAATAAAATGTAAAATTAAAAAATAACATCAAACGCATCAAACTAATTTTAGTTTATTGTTCATAGTTTATCATTGCATGTGGCGCTATCTCTTTTCCCTCATTAAAACCTTCAAAATACATAGAGTCCTCGTTTATCTGTTGCATGATAAAAGCGGTCCCTTTTCAGAATTTGATATTACTTAGCAGCATATTGGCTGAGCCTCCCACTTAATGGAATTATAAAGGGCAACTAAGGGCCCTTATGTACCGTACCCCTATATGGGTGCGGTGTATTATTGAGTCTCCGTCCTGAAGGAAATAAGCATCGCCTGAACATCACTCCACACACACCGACTCGGCGCACCACTAGACCCTTTATTATTTAATAAGGCCCTTACAACGAAAAGTGGAATGAATAGCAGAGAGATAATTGACGAAAGACCTGAAAAACGTCACATGCTGCCTCCCTGGCTCCTTCATCTTGTGTTACACCAGAGAAATGCTTTTATATCGTCTCAGAGCGCTTATAAATTAGTGAATTAGTTTTTAAACTTTAATCTCCAATTAAAAAGAAGAGATGTAGGCAGGAAACGGCTGTAAAAGGCGTACATATAAAAAATATGAAAACATAGCCTCAGGAGCAGGGTTAATGACTTCACTTCATGCATACAGTTATTCGAATCACTGATTGAAATAGCACAACAATTCACACGAAATACTATTATTTCATTTAATTACTGCAAAAAATTTTAAATTTGACTTGATGGGTCTTGCAAAATCAAGGCCAAGCAACTATTCTATAATTAATATGCAGAAATCTGCGTCATTGTGTGCTGAAAATGAAGGAACTAAACTCACCAGGAAGTGACCGTCAATTAAATTATGGACTTTCAGCGTCAGTCAATTCTTATCAGAATCAAAATAAGACAAATCTGTAGAGCTGTTATTTTCAGAACAGTAAAATCCCAAGGTTTTTGATAGATGTTAAACGATCAACCTCACCCGGCAACAATCAGCCGAACAATTGAATGCGTAACTTGAGCCTGCTCTTCTGATCCATTCGTTACTGATAGACGATCTATTGAACTAAGTTTGATAATCTGTGCGGGCATGTCTGCGGGCAACTCTGCGGGACTTTCTGCGGACATTTCTGCAAAAAAATTTGCGGGAATATGTACGAATATTTCTACTTGTATCTTTTCGGGGATCTTCTCGGATATCGCTGCGGGCGCCAGCGCGGATATCTCTGCGGGTATATCAGCGCGGAAATCTCTGCGGGTAGCAGAGTAGGAATCTCTGCGGATATGACATCCAGCGGGTATCTGAGCGCGTATCTCTGCAGGCATCTCTACTTGTATTAGAGCGGATTTCTTTGCGGATTTGAAGAGGATATCAGCGCGAACATTGTTAGGGATAAATATTTACAGGATAAATTAAATCATTGACTATCGTATTTTTAGTAGGAGCAATTACTACATTTTAAGTTTAGAGATTTTATATTTTCCGTGATACATTCATTCATGGACAAGACACGAGCTGGTGAGAAGTATAGACAAGCACACCACACGAGTACAGAGAAGCTTTACCAAATATATTTGAAAACTATATGTTTATATGTAAACTGAACCTCCCTGCATAAGTGCGAGAGATTTATAGCCCTCGGCAGTTTCAGTAGCCGACAGCAAGAGGGGTAAACTATTTATTTACCCGGGACAATAATTATCCGGTTACCTTAATCAAAGTTAATAAACTGAAATTATACTTTTTGGGATTTCCATAGTAAAAATTCATGGAAATCGGAGTCTCACCTTCGATTACTAGCTCTAAAACAATCATAGCTTTTTGCTCCAGATTCAGCCCTGATTTTTATCTCTAGAATCGCCTCTGATTCAAAGCTCAAAACCTCCCACGGATGATCTTTGTTTCGCTATTACTATCGTTTCAAATCATTGATAATAAGCTTAAAGCGACAGTGTACGGTAGTAATCTTAGTTTGCTTCACTAAGCTATTTCTTGGATATTTGCTGGCCAAAGCATTCAGGTCTGCGGTCGAGGAGCGTCTGCATTCAACTTCTGAATGGAGGCATAGAAGCAAAGTATGCCGTCTACAACGAGTCAATTTAACGAATAGAAGGAACCCTACCGAGCAGAGGCTACGCATAACAAACTTATTAAAGGCAATCTTAGTACAATTTTTCAGTTTATCATCTCGCTGAAAATGAAAATAAACAATTCCTAGCGTCTTATTTCATTTTAAAGGTGTTTTGAAGTGACGAGAAGTGAAGAGCAATAATGAAAATATATTTTGAGAACTTTACTGATAATTCAAGCCACATTTTTCCGTCTGACATGTATTTTTCTTGATATTATAAGGAAAATCACTTTGTCATAAGATAAATAGTAAATACCAGTCACATTATTACACTTTTACTGCGACCGTTGCTGCCAAACGGTAAAGTTGGTACATGATCACTTTGATACCCTAACATTTCTTACCCTCGGCAAAATGTTATGCATAGTCCTTAGAAAAATGAATGTGTCATATTGTCTGAATAATGATACACTTTCTACATATGGAACTGATATGCCTTGTTGCCGAAACCAAATGGATCAGGATGAATCGCATAAGGGTAAAAAATATAACTCAGTACTCACTGCAGTGAGTGACAGAGAGCGCATTTTCTCGTCGACGAAAACTTGAGGTCACGGACAGACGGACAGACGGACGGACAGACAGACAGACAGACGGACGGACGGACATGGCGAGCACAGTAGTGCATTTTTTCCATAAATGAGAAAATGCGCTAAAAAGCATCGATATTTGGACAAAATCTCACTCAATTATATGCGTGTGTTGTCACTGTATGCACATTTCCACCCGTCCATATGAGGTTATCTACTCTTCTGCAGCGGTATATGAAAGACACACCCGGCGCCGATTATTAAATATAAAACATTGAATCATAAATACCTTAAGGTGGTAGAGTTCCGATCAATTTAGTAATGAAAACAAGCGAAAACATTACATATGAAGGGAAGTTTTCACAGGAATGATAATGAAATGTATATAGGTTTGGCAGAAATAATAATAATTCTAGAGTTACTTTTGCCAAAGTTATAAATGAAGTTCACTTCTGCAAGGCATCCCGTGGCAAGTACAATTGTGAAGCCATACAAATCAGAGAAAATCAATGGATTAAATAATAATGCATTAAATACATTACCTGCCATTTCCTGATCGCAACTGGCTTGCAAAATGTGGACATAATAATATCAAACTTACATTTGGCTATCGTGATGCATACTATTGTTGCGGGAGAGCGTACACACTTTTGCTATCCTCGTTTAATATGAACGGGATTGTGTATGATTACAAAATAGAGCTCAGTTGGAGGTGCTAGATATTATTATCCGGATCAAACTTTTCGAATAAAGCGTCTCTCGCAAAGGCTGACAAGACTCTGGATTCTCCAAGTTAGTTAAGTGGTGCTATCGCTGACAATTGCTGATAATTTTCACAAAACTCATTTATTCAAACAGCCTCACAGATTAATTATTGTCCGTATAGAAGCTCTACTTTAATTCATTCCAACAACGGTGACTAAAGTAGGCAAGGGTGTAGCATTAATAAACTTTTTTTTTTTCAAGCAAGCAGTATCAGCTGCAACCTATGAATAAAAATTATAGCTGAAGTGTTTAAACGAAATACGACACAATCAAAGGTAGTCAAATGAATGAATATTCTCAATAAAATAACAAAACCTAGACGATGAAAAAAAGATTGGAGTCTTACCCGCCGCAGTGAGATATTACAGAATTAATCATGCTAACAAATAAGAGCACACAGTACCGACTCTGGAATATTAAAAATTACACATTAAATAGAGTGATAATTAGCATAGCTCATAGATCTATACATAAAGAGCTAGTAACATCAACTAAGGGAAAACAAATTCTTTAAGATAACCCCCATGTCCTTGAGAATAAATAACATATAAGCTTTGCTCTTCATTATTATAATTAAATTTTCAGTAATGCACATGCAGCTCTCGAATATACCACAAATAGCCGCACGTAGAAGTCACACACGTTAGCAAATTTATTAATTTTGTTTCCTTCATAGCAATTTGTGGCACAAAATGGCATCACATCTTGGAAAATAAGCACACGATCACATTCTTCGTAGAATTTGTCGCCCAACAACTGCATAAATTTGCCAACCCCCTCTTACATATGGTCGGATTTGGTCATGTCCACCTAAATTTAGCTCCGTGTGGACACGCCATCAATACAAACGCTTTGCCGATCAGTCAAAGGCAAGTCACGAAGCTATGGAAGCGACACACAAAGAAGCTGTGACCGCCTTTAATGCTGTCAGCCTACAACGCAGTAATTTATTTGGTCTCCGAGAAGCTTTTAGTTCGCACCTGCTACGCGCTTGTAGCCTGGCATGGCGTCGAAAACAGAGCGCTGTAATTACCGCTATAAGACTTCATGTCGATGGTGAGAGATTGTTTGAAGCTAATATTATAAATTAGCTGAATATATTGAATTATTTGGTCATGTCGGTAGACCGGTTATTGTGGAACCGGCTTACACGTGTCAAAAACTGCAATAATATCAGATGCGAGTGAAAGATTTATTTAACAGCATTTGATAAGAGTTCCCCATGTATTGCCTTACCTAATGAGCGTGTTCTATAAAATTTCATACAATTGTATGTGTAAATTAAATTTGAAATTTTTTTTTTCTAAAACATCATAAGAAAAATTTTGGCCTTCTCAGTGATAGTTTTGCCCAAACTCTGTGATAGGACGAAAAAGTTTTTGCCATCTCAGTGATTTTTCATTCAAATAATCAGCATACGTAAGTCACATAAAACGTATTGAAAACAAATAAATTACAACTTATTCACTGCAACAAGATGTCGTTTGAGGCTAGCGACAGGAATCTCGGTCGTGACCTGTGTTTGCTTTGA